CTTGATCTGACCTCCAGTGACTTCTTTCTTTACCTGAAGATAAAGGATATACTGAAAGGAAGACATTTTGATGACATTCAGGACATTAAGGGTAATACGATGACAACTCTGATGGCCAATACAGAAAAAGAGTTCCAAAATTGCTTTAAAGGGTGGACAAGGCACTGGCGTCAGTGCATAGCTTCCCAAGGGGACTACTTTGAAGGTGACCATAGTGATACTCAGCAATGAGGTATGTAGCACTTTTTCTAGGATGAGTTCATGGACTTAATTGTCAGACCTCATATGCATGTGTGTGAGCGTAAACACGTGAGCATGTGTGTCACTTGTCACAAAATATCTAAATGGCAGGAGGGATGGCCCTTAGCATGTAAAACTTCTCTGGGTTATGTATGAAGTGTGTTCTGAGTACCAGACCCCAGACTAGGGGTGTGAGATGCAGTGTGAACCTGAGGTGGGTGTTGGCAATTACTGCTCAGAGGTCAGCATGCATGGTCCAAGAATGTGTCAGTGCACCCGGGCCCTGTACCCTCAGACACATGTGGTCAGTGAGCATGTTGTGGCCATCCCCTGGGCCTGCAGAGACATCCTTGAGCATCTGCCTCACCCTTGCAGGGTCCTGGAGATGCATGGTCTGGGTTAGAAGCAAAAACTCAAACACATGTGTGAGGATCTTGCTGGAAGGGGAGGGCTGGTCTCTGGACTGAGGCACCGTGGTGCTGGGGTCACCGTCTGCAGCATGGGGAACAGCTGCCAGCAGAAGTGGTGGTTGGTTAGGAAAGGGAAGGATGGCTTAGAAGGTTATTGAGATGCCCGTGGATCCCAAGGGCAGTGAGGCCACAGGCCGTGATGTCAGGTTGCAGGGTGTTGGGGAGCCCTGGGACCCTGTGTCCAACGACCAGAGGGTCGGGGTGTTAGAAGCTGTATCAGTGAAACCCTTGGGAGGAAGCATTTGAGGGCTGAGGACAGGCCTAATTGCTGAGGCTGAGAGATGTCAAAACACAGGAAAAGGCCAGGAGGCGTCACTGCGGGGCTTGGCACATCTGTCCAAGCACCCAGCAGTGCCCGGGGATCACTGCAGAGGATGCATGTCCCACCCAGGCCGCCACGTTCAGCATGGAGGCGCCTTACCCACGCCTGGGCCACTCCATTGCCCTTAAAAGAGGCGTCCAGGACCCTTTACCTGGGAGACCAGCTGAGGGGGCTTTGTCAGATGGACAAGTGGTAACAGCCAGGAGGCAGAGGGGACTTGGGAAATGGAAGAGCAGATGCAGATAGCTCGTGCTGGGAGGGCAGGTTGCTGTAGGCGGTGGCCCCTCCTGCCTCCTAAGTTCTTCCACTCAGTTGACTCCGCTAGAATGAATTGTACTCTTTTTCTGCATCCATAGCACATCATAGCTACTTAAAAAAAAATCCAAGTCACTGCCTCTCTCTCACTAAGCCTTGAGCTCCTGGGTCTCAGCGCCGGGCAGCTTGGAGAAGGCTGGATAGGGAAGGAGGGAATCTTCCTGACTTTACATTAATAGCAAGAAAGTTACCTTGAAGATAAAGGTCACTTTAGGGCCTGAGGCCCTGGCTTTCTGGCTTTAGGCCTGAGGACCATATCCCCAGAGGAGACACCCTACACCAGCAGGTATAGCTGTTTCTGCTTTGCTGGGAAGCTCCAGGTCCACAACCGAACGTCTGCCTTGTAAGGCCATCACGTGTGGATGGGACAGGCGTGGGCACATGTGGACACCCCACCCCACCCCCCAGAGATGGGGAGGAGATGGTGACCTCCAGAGTCAGTGCATTTCCTTCATCCTTCTCCGCGAGGGTGTTTCTTCCCGAGTGGTGTGAATGCCTGCGTCTGCAGCATCAGCTCTCTGGGGATTTGGTTTTTCAGGATGTGCTGTTTTTGCTGGGCAGCTCATTGGGGCCTGCAGCCCCTCTTTCTCTGATCTCCCAAAGGGGGACCTAGACCCTTGTTGCTGTCTTTTGGGATTCAGGGAAGGTCGTTGAGGATGCCTGGGGAGAAGGTGTTAGGTTTGGCGGTGACTGGCATGAGCATGTCGTGTTGATCACTCATTTTTTTTTAGCAAATTGCCTTCAAGAATCTGGTGCAGAGAAACCGCCAGGCAGAGCAGCAGGCCAGCCGGCCACCCCCGCCCAACTCTGTCATCCACCTGCCTTTCATCATCGTGAACACCAGCAAGAAGACTGTCATCGACTGCAGCATTTCTAACGACAAGTAGGTTGTCCATCTGCCCCCACGGTCTCAGCGCTGATCTCAAGTCAGAAATGAAGAGTGCCATAGTTGGCGGTATTAACTGCTTATCGGTTCATTTATATGAGTACCTAGTTTGTAATTAAATACAATCTTTTGGCATAATTAATTTAGAAATTTGCTTCTCGTTCCCCTGATTATACATCTCTCTTTTAAAAGGAAAACAAATCAAACCTGTTAGGATTATTCGTAGGAGAGTTGTTCAAACGTATCACAACTGGCAGATGGTGTTCACTGTTAGTCCTGGGGGCCAGGCAGCCCGGACCGCAGGTAGACCGACCAGCAACCTGCTGGGGAAGTGCCCCCAGAGCCTAGATGATGATTCGCGATGCCACCTGAGTCCCCCGGGTCACTGTTTCTGAGTTGATGCATTTTGTAGACACCAGATGAAAGGGCACCCGAGGAACCAAGTATGTCCATCTCTGTCTTGAAGCTGGCACTTTGCTGATAGGGACTCTCTCCTCCAGATTTGAGTATCTATTCAATTTTGACAACACGTTTGAAATCCATGATGACATAGAAGTGCTGAAACGCATGGGGATGGCCTATGGGCTGGAATCTGGAAGCTGCTCCGCTGAAGACCTCAAAGTGGCAAGAAGTTTGGTGCCGAAAGCGCTGGAACCCTATGTGACAGGTCAGTCGGTCCCAGTGACCACAGTGGCTGAGTGGCTAGAGTAAGGACAGTTCCCCAGCCCTCAGGTGTTCAGCTCTCCTCTGCTGAGATGGCTCAAGGTCACGGCACTGAGAGCAAGGATAGGCGGGGACATGAGAGGGTCTTGGGGACTGCAGGAGTGGGCATGGTAGGCAGGATGGCCATCTGGTGGGGCCCTCGGCCGCTGAAACACTTGGTGAGTGGTGTCCACAGTGGCATTTTGTGGGTTTGGCCATGCAGTTTATATGAAGGTGTTAAGTCAGGTTTCACCTTCCAGGTAGGGCGCCCAAAAAGAGAGATTGAAGTTCTCTGAGGAATGTAGTAGGCTTGGACATTTCCCTTGAGGTAGTTGATTGGTCACTGCAGCAAAGTAACAAAGAATATTGATGTTCTGTGCCTATTACTGATGGCCGGAGTGTGGAAGCATTTGCGTGGTGAGCTGTTATTCTGGTTCTCTGGATTTCATTCTGGTGACTCCTGTGCTAAGAAAGATCCTGGCCACAGAGCGGGGAGGGGGCTTGGTGGCAAGAAAAAGCTGCCGTCACTGCCCCACTTTGTGGTGTAGCTCTGTTCCCGAGAGCTGTGGCGTTGGATTGGACTCAGAGCTCCTGGTCCATTCAGAACAAGTGGGCCTCTAGCCTCAGGTTGCCCAGTGAAACTGGCTCTTCCTGCCGTCCTGCAGACTAGCAGCCAGCCTGCTGGGACACCCAAGCTGACGCGTCATTGAAATCCTCACCCTATCACCCTGTTCTTGGTACAGACCACTGTCTCTAGGACAGGCGTGAATGTTGGTCCTTCATCCCCCTCGGTCCCCACTTTCTGCTTTATGACAACAGTTTTGATTCAGTGGCACAGTAGTGTCGTCATCAGTGACTGCACGTAAATTAAGGGCTTCCATGCCTTCTTACAGAGGACCGGCCCACTGGCCGTGCCTGGCTGAGCAGGGCTGCTTTCTGGGAGGTGGCATGGCACAGAAAACTCTAGGCAGATCTCAGGTGCCCAGGCCCCGTGGCTGTCTTGTTTCAGCATGAGTGCCCCTGTTTCTTCTGGTCTCTGCTTTGTGACGTTTGCTTTATTTCTTTCTCTTTTCAGAAATGGCTCAGGGATCACTCAGCAGTGTATTCATCACGTCGTCGGTTTCGACCTCTAATGGCACAAGGCTTTCTGCCAGGTAACTGCATTTCTGGGCCGAGGTGGGTGGGCAGTGGGGCCGCTTTGTCCCCTGGCAGTGTGAAGCCCCCAGCTTTCATACAAACAACCTCAATTCCTCAGCCGTTCAGACGGGATTCACTGTGCAGTCCTGTGGGACCGCCACACCCTGGAAGCGGTGTCAGCCCCTTTCCCCCACCCGAGGGTACTTCACACACCTGTAGCTTGTCCCCTTCGTGGAAAGCAGCTTTCTTACTGGTTTCTTCCCCCTAAAAAGTAAAAGCAATACATGTATTTTATTTTTTAAAAAGTAGCACACAGCAAAAACCACCCAAACCCCACTGCCGGCAGCCTTAAGTGATAGTGTTTCTCAATCATTTTTTCCCCTATTTCTTTTAAAACAATGAGGTCACAATGTACATATAACTTTGTTCCCTGCTTTTTTCACTTTACCTTTTATTGTATGTATTTCTCTGTGTTATTGAGGCTTTATTATTTAAATCAATGTGTATTTAACCTTTGACCTAGCAGTCCCACAGAGCAGAATATATCATCCCTAAGTGTTTATCTTAGTTTTGAAAAGAAAAATAATTTCAGCATTAAGTATTGACAAAACAATGGTTTTATGAACTTTTGTATTGTATTATGTTATAAATTATACATATTACTTTATATTAATCCTAAGTATTAATAAATGTTTAATTTTTAAAATATAAGAAATTAGCAGCCTGTAGGTCCAACAAAATGGGATTGATGTAATAAATTACAGTGTGCACACACCTTCGATGCAGTGCTCTATGGCCGTTGAACCCGTACGGCACTTTGGGTTTCTGTGTGACACAGATGAGGCCACAGGGTGGCCCTGAGCGAGCCGTGCATGGGCAGTGAGGGTGCGAGGCCATGGGGTCAGCTCTAGGGGAGGTTCCAGGCTCTGCGGCCCAGCTCACTTGAGGGAGATGGGACTGGTGATGGCTTAGTCATAGATGTGCTGCGCGGATTAGTGAGATGGTGAAGTTCTTTGTAGGGGGTCTGACACATGGTCAGATTTTGACAGAGGTCAGCTCAGTTTTTAATTTTAACTCTCCCGCTATATGTGTGTGTCTAGGGATCAGTCTGAACTGGGAAAATGCTGAACATTGGTTATTCCAAGAGGTGGAATTTGGGTATTTTCTAAACTTCCATCTTCATGAAATTCATTTTATTGATTAAATTTTATAGATTCATGTCAGTTTTTATAACAAGGGAAGCAAGACCTTTATCATTTCAGAAGAAAAACCAACATTAACGGTGGCATGATAACGATATTTTATGAAGGCACGATAGTTTACTGAACTGTTAGACATTTAGGTGGTTCCCAGCTGCTATAAGCAAAGCTGCAGTGAGCAGCTTTATGGCTAAATTTTTCACCCTTTCTGACTTGTTTTGCTAGACTAGATTTCCCAGATGTAGAATTACTTTGTCAAAGAGCAGAACATTTAATAGTAGTTTTTGTTGTACAGTGTTAATAAATATCAGTAAACGGTATTAGAATATATACATATGGTTTTATGTTAATGAAAATACGTCTTAATGCTAGACTATATTGCAGCTCTGGCCTGTGGTTGGTTTCTGTGTTGCTGCAAACCTTTTAGGGTTCCTGATCCATATTGCCAAATTAAAGCAACACTTGCTACTTAATCATTTCATGCCCACCAAACTCCCTCTTTTTCAAGTGTATAATGGCCACATTTCCAGTGCAGTTGTGACCCTTTTATGTCCTATCTTTAAGTGGATTTAAACTGTGTGAGCTTCTCCTGGGAATGACTGAGTTCCTGTGTAGTTACAGGAGGCATTCTCAGAGTCTAGAACCTGGGTGATTGCTATCAACGTGTAAATTCTAGGTTGGCATCTCTTCAATACTTGATGTTTCTTAGAATACCTTTTCTTGCTGTGCAACTCAAATACTAAGAAATTGAAATTACTTTTGACCATAACCTACCCAAGTTACAATTCATAGTGGAAATGTGCACTTGTCCCTCCTCCTCGTGATTGGCATGGGCCATCACCTGTTCGTGCCCCAGGACAATAACTGACCCTTCGTGTCTGACTCACTCTATACTGAGATGCTGGGTGGTGGCTGATCTCAGGGGTCTTTCACCAGGATCCTAGCTCTTAAAATCTCTCACCGTTCTAGGTCAGGGCCTTGCCTATGGCACTCTTGACATTTTGGGCCAGATGACTGTTGTGGGCACTGCCCTGTGCATTATGGGGTGTTTGGTAATACCCTTGGCCTCAGATGCCAGTACCCCACCCCCTCCTGCCAGTTGTGACAACCAAAGGTTTTCACATGTCCCTGTTTGAGACCCCACAGGAGAATAATGCAACTGTAGGTGGGTTCCAAACACCCACCTGAGGACCAGTGTGTAGGGCCAGGCAACCCTGCCTTCTACCAGCTCCCAGCCCAGCAGCCGCACCCCCACCCCTCTGGGCATATGGTCCCTGCCCAGGGCCAGCCCCACCGACCTTCAGCAAATGCCATTCCACAAAACTGTAGAAAGCTGTGGGATCCTTGGAGCCTTCCTGGAAGTATAGGTTGCGGAGGAGTGTCTGCCTGAGACTCAGCTTTCACAGCTCAGCTTCCTGGGCTCTGCACAGAAACCAGAGGAGCTGAGGGTGGGGCTGAGGGATGTGATTTACACATGCATGTACACAAATGTGCATGTACACACGAATGCATGCACATGCATGGTCACACATGTACAAACACGTGCACACACATACACGTGCATGCACATACTCAGAACTTGCTGGGTGCTCTCCCACACACTGCTATCCAGGGAGCCTTTCTTTGGAGGGTCCCATGTCATCTTTGGGGCCCTTTTTCCTAACCATTTTCTGCCTCCTTGGAGATTAAGGAGTTCATAAGTAAAAGGCCTACAAAGAAGGATCTAATGGTTTTTCAGTTTGTACACTTAGGGATATTGTTTCTGTTGTAATAATAAATGGGGGAAAAGACTATATATCGTGGCCTTGCCAGTATTCCCTTCATTTTACTGGTTATGTTCAAGAGGACAAGGTTGAAAAGGATATAAAAAGGGTGGAACTGATAACAGAGTGTTGGGAGAATCTGTATTAGATAGGTGAAACTTTCCATTTCTGTTTGTATAATTGAAACTACCCAAACCTCCCTGAAATGCTGGCCTGTCTTTGGTGCAGGCTGCAGACATGCATCACTAACCGCCTTGTGTCACCTCCTGTTCTTGCAGTGACTTGACCAACGGTGCGGACGGGATGCTGGCCACAAGCTCCAGTGGGTCTCAGTACAGCGGGTCCAGAGTAGAGACCCCTGTGTCCTATGTCGGGGAGGACGACGACGAGGACGAAGAGTACAATGAAAACGACGAAGAAGACTGATGTTCTCGCTCGCAGGTCCTGCCCTCCCTCAAGTTAAGCTTCAGGAAAACATGTTTAGAGAAGAGAAACTTTTTTTAATGTGTTTTTTTCTGTTTCTTTTTGGCCTTCTCCCAAGAAGATATTGGTAAGCTATTGAATTCGATGTGCACCTCCGATAAGCAAGCCAGGGTTGTTTTCTGTCGGGTCTTTTAAGATGGGCTGCGGTGTGTATGGGTTCCAGTGTGCTGATGCAGGACCTCTATTTACTTTTTAGGATTTTGTGTTTTCATTTTCTATTTTTTTAAATTCACAGTTGATTTTTGCCCCGTTACAATTCTTGCTGAGTTTGCTGAATAAGCTCTACTCCATCCACATCAACGAAAATAAAACACCATCCAGTGGAGGCAGGTGCACCACCCAGAATGCTCTTCTCAGTGTGTTGTGAATGGTGCCACCTGCTGGCCGAGGGTGAGGCTCCAGGAAGAGTTTCGCATTGTTAAATCATGTGGTATCCCAAGAACTAAGCAAATGCAAAGCTCTGCTTTTCAACATTAAGCGCCATAAATCTTGTTATGACTTTTTTTTCTCTTAAATTATATTGACTGTGATTCCCTCAAGTTTATACTTTTTTTTTTCTCTCTATTTTGCAACAAACAAATTGCAAAGTTCATTTTTTTTGTTTGTTTTTGTTTGGTAAAAGTTTACTGCCATGCTGATGCAGCTATGAAAACTGTCTGGAAGGCTTGGAATGGTTTATTGCTTATGGTAAAATTTGCCTGATTTCTTACAGGCATTGTTTGGAAACTTTTTATTATATAGGTGTTTACATACTTATAAGTCTATCATTTAAAGACATGTACTGAAACAAATGTTGTATTTGTTTCGTAAGCATCTTCCTGTAATCTATTATAAAGTTGAAATTAAATATAGAGAATGTTTTAACAGTTTTTTAACTCAAAATTTGTCAATCATTTTTAATAGTTCTTTTTTTATAAAAAGAAAAAGGAATTTCGGGACAGGCAGTAGCCTCTTTTAAAATTTATTCACAAAGAACCATTAGCTGCACAGTTGCTGTTAGCTGCCTGTTCTAAAACAATAGTCTTTTTATTGAAACACAAATAAAATTTTCTGTAATATTTTATGGAATATAAAGAGACTTTAATTGTTTGACTTGTTTAACTTGGCACTGTTAGTTTTTATTAATAAAACGCGCATGGGCATTTTAAACAAGCTCTGTGTTTCTATAATTCAGAGATTACTGTCTAGAAATTATTGTATCCAGCTTTTTGCTGGAGTGAGGAAAAGTTGCCAGGCCAACCAATGGTGGGCTGGGACCCCACTATTGCTTGCTCCTCAGCTTGTCCTGCAGCTGCTCAAGGGATGGTGGGGACCCAAGAAAGAGGTCACAGTGGGCACAGGCCAAAGTGACGCCCCCTCTCCAGTGGCCAGTGGTGGGGAGAGAGTTTGTTCCTTGACTTTCTCCTGAATCCTAAAAGTTGAGACAGATTATGGGTTTGATTTTCAGAAAAAGAAGATCATAAGGTGAAAAAGGAGATCTGACTTCTGACCTCCACTGTTATTGTGACATATCTGAGGTGACCTGACCTCTGACCTATGACATGACATTTCTGAGGTGGCTCAATAAGTTTTCACTGATGGTATCAGAAATGAAGAACATTTGCTACATTATCTTATGTAGTACAGATGCCCAACAAATACATGATTCGGTTAACCGTACAGAATGTATACAGGGTTTTGATTCTCTTCTCAGACAACTGTGTTTATAATCGGGTTTCTCTGGTTTTCGGGTTGACAGATTTTTCTACCCAGTAGCTGTGTGGAGTGTTCTCTGTTGCCCTGTTGGCGGTGACGTGCCTGCTGCTCATGTGAGAAGGGGGCACCAGGCCGTGAGCTGTGGTTTGGGTGAAAAGTGGGTGACACTCGGTGAGAGCAGGTTTGTTTGTTCAGACAGAATGTTCTCATTTCAGTTTCTTTGAAAGGCATAGAGTTGCAGACTTCACATGCGTTCCTGGACGTTGATGGAGGGATGCGTGCTTGGTGAAAGGAAGGTTACTGCTGTTTGTAATTACCTCTGGTTTGTAGATTCTGTCACAAGGATGACACCGTCGTGTCCTCCAACAGTGTTTTGTAATTTCCCTGACTTGCAATTGAAACTTTAAAAAGGAGATTTTTAAAGAAAGAGGCATTTGATTTTTTAGTTAATTTTTCCCCTTATGAGGAAAGACGTGGCTGTTCTACGTAGAGTAAGTGTAACTTTAATATATTTATTTTTTACAATTTAGGAATCGCATTCTTTAAAACAAGCATTCAGAGTGCACATTATCATGTAATGTTTCATATTAATGCATTTATAGTCTTCATATTAACATGGGTAATAGTTCATTGAAGTATAGAAAAAATAAGTTATAGTAAGGAAAGTGATGTCTATATAGAAAGAGATTAATCATTTTAGGGTCTTGTTAGTTGAATAGTTGCTGCCTTAGGGTTGTCATGTTAACCTAACATTTTTATTATAGCTATACATTCTATCTAAAAATATAACGAAGATTTAATAAGAAACAGTTGATTCTAACGCTAAGTGCTTGATGCGCAGGTGCCTGTCTGGAGTTACCCGGCTGGCTTCAGTGGTGGCATTTTAGAACGTGTGAGCGCTGGCTGGGTGCAGAGCCAGCAGGCAGTCAGGAGGGTGGAGGTCTGCAAGTGACCCTGCAGGTTAAGGCTGGCGTCCTTGCTCCTTCACTTCTCAATTTTAAGCTTGAACTCCACTTTCCCTTCATAGGGGTCATGGGGGTTGTCATAGGTCACGTGCTCGGCCAGGATCTTGCACACGATGACAACTTCCGTGTTCCCGGGGATGTTGAGAAGCTTTGCTGCGACTAAAGGGTTGCTGTAGTGGGGCTGAAATGGAAATGTGGAAAAGATGTGTCAGAAATCTCACAATGAGTGTCTATCCTTAGATGCTACAAAGAGGCGATTCTTAGGCGCGTTCTGCATTAAGACCTGCAGGGATCTAACATCTCACGTAGGCGCTGCTACACGCCCCAGAATTCACTGGGGTAAATATGTCTCCCCACTTAGAATCGAGAATTGGGCTGGAGGAGACAGACAATACCAATGACAAAGTCAACTTCAAATTATATTTGATGAAAACAAATATAAAAATAAAACAGGAAAAAGCAAGAGACTTAGAGGAAATGCTTTAAAATGCAAATGCAGTTTTCTAAAAGGATTTGGGAGGCCATCGGAAAGCTAAAGAATTAGATTTTATGTTTGCGTTTTGTGTTAGAGCAATGCGTTCTCAGGTAATTAGGAGAACTGAGTTTGGGAAACACCCAGAGCATGAATGGTCAGGATGGGCTAAGGAAACACCTTTGTTTAATTTTTATAGGTAAAGTGTCTATGGCTTTCCTTTTGCTAATCGTTGCTAAATTTGAGATGATTTCAGTAGTTGTAGGGAAAAGAGAAACAACCTACCTGTGCTTTCTTCCCGTAGTAAGGGAAATAGTGTAGACTGAAGGTGCCGTTGGGCGGGTAGTACTCCACCTGCAGGGGCTGGATGTTCTTGTCATGCTGGTCCTGGGGGAGGAGAGGCCGCTGCCTGAGTAAGGCAGGATCTGAGTGGGTGAGGGTGTGTGTGTGTGTGTGTGTGTGTCTGTGTCTGTGCTTGTCTACGTATGTGCATGTGTGTGTATCTCTGCATGTCTTCATGTGTCTGTGCATGTGCATGTGTGTGCACAATAGGTGACCACAGAAATACTTTATTGTGTGATTAGCATAAACTAGATTTAATCTTTATAATCAGTACTGAGATCCCATCAGGGGTCTAATTTGTTAGTTTGCAAAACCCCTTGTGACTTATCAAAATTTTATTTTTACCATTTTAAGTCTTTGTAGGATAATAAAAGTGGATAGAGCTGAGAACGCGCTTGATTGTCCGTACGTGGGAATGAAAGCTGATAAGTCTGAATGGGCTGGTTTGCCAAAACTGGCTCAACGTTTGAATGGCTTTCTGGGATAAGGATCTACGTGCTTTTGTGGGATTTGTTTCGTTTCAGAGTCAGCGATGGATAACTTGAGCTTATCAAAGAACAGATGTAGGAAACTGTGGTGTCTTAAAATCTCAAGTTGGCCTACACATGTGGTTGAAATAACAAAAAAGGAAAAAGAAAACAAGATGATCCTTGGGCCCCACAGAGATTACAGGCTTTGCAGGGGTATGGTATTTCTGTGGACTAATAGCAGGGGAACCTTTGGTGAAGGCACAATGGTGAAAAACAACTTGAGAAAATAATTCAATAAAGACAAATTTAGTTATTTTCATGTACTTAAATACTAGTTTTGAGAAAAACTGGAACAAATTAATGCCAACTCTTAGCAGCCTATATACGAGTAAATACACTATTGAACAACTATAGCTGTTGGTAATCCGGTATGTTTTTGTAAATAAGCAAATAAAAAGGACACAACAAGCATAGAAGTGCCTTGGTTTTTCCAGATTGCCACCAAACATTTTGAAGTGTGTTAATAATATACTGTCCTAGGTGCTTTTTGAACCAAAACAATAACAAAAAAACCATTGTGTTTTTCTTACTAGGTTTTTTCCTCTCCTATATTAAAACTGTGTTGAGCAGTGTTTCGTTGTGTATCTGTCTGGCTTATTAGGCTGACAATCGAGATGTTCTTAGGGACAACCAGTTCAGTGATCCTGCAGGTTTGTAGCATAAACAAGATTATTGCAGACGATCGCACTCACCAGGAAGGCGCAGTCCACCCTGGGGGCCGTTTTGTTGCTGGGGAGAAACCTGACGATCTGGAAGGGAAAGGCGTCTCACGTTCATCTGTGAGCACGGAGGGACTCTCCTCTCCTGAGGGGGTTTCTGCAGGGCACTGAGAAGGGTCTGGGGGGTGATTCCTGTCCTAATAACCCCCAGTGGGTACTACCAACTCCTACATCAAAGCCAGAAGCCCTGCCCCAGGGCTGTGTTCTTGGCTGAAGGCAGGTAGCAGACGGCCTTGGACAGAAGGGCCCGAGCCCTGGCTGCCACTTCCAGGCCCTCCACAGAGCACTGAATTAGGGCGCAGCATCTGCTGTCTGTGCGGCAGGCAGCTCCCCGTACTCCCAGTCCACACCTTTCTCAGCCTGAAGTCCCAGCCCTTGTGTGTGCCCGGGCCTGGTACAGCACCTGCCTTGTCCACATACCTGCCCCAGTGTGCACAGCCTCCTGTGCAGTGCAAGTGTGAGCTGCCATCACACCTGCCAGACAGCTCTGACGAGACCCCAGCTGGGACCCAGGACATTGCAGTGCACAAATGCATGGCTTCCTCTAGGCATCTTAGGAAGGAAAATTGTGCCCTCGCAGAAGCTCAGAGCCCCTGGCCCCCAGGCCACACTTGCTGGCCATCATGGAGCCCTGTCCCCTCACCCCCTCACAGCCATATGCCACCTCTCATCCAGTCTCCACTGTCACCTCTCTCCTGCAGCCCCCCTAGTCTAGATGGACCGTGCCGTCCTGTAATTTGCTTGCACTAGTTCTGCCCCCACAGTCCTGGCCTCAGTACCTGGCCCTGAGCCTGTTTATGGGTCTCTGGCCCAGGTTGGAAACCCCTGCTCTGGACGGTTCCCAGGTATCCTCCCAAGTGCCTGTATAGGGCCCGGTTTCTTTCTTGCTGTTGTGCACACATGGCTGCCCCGGCACCCTGAATAGCCCCATGCTCTGCTGCTTGGTGTCCAGATGCCACAGAGTGTTAAGTAGGTGCTGTCTTTGAACAGGCGGTTTTCAGTGTGTATTTGAGAGAAGTAAGCTCATGAGCCAATGCAATGGGTGCGCGTTCGAAGGTGCAGAGTGAGGAAGGGGCGGCCTGTGCAAGTTGGGCCCCACCACCTCTGGAAGCCTGGATGGGAGGTCTGAGCACCCTGACCCACCACCACCCCACAGCACTCCCCAAAGGAGACCTCATACTGGATCTCTGGAAGCCTGGATGGGAGGTCTGAGCACCCTGACCCACCACCCCACAGCACTCCCCAAAGGAGACCTCATACTGGATCTCTGACCTCTACCCTTTTATACTCACCCTGTTCATTTTAATAATAAAACATGGCTTTCCTTCTGCAAAGCCGAAATTGGGATCCACGAGGCCTGAGCAGTTTTGCAGCATGTCTGTGGTGAACTTGCAGGAGAATTTGGTGTGGTTAGGGGCGCTGAAGCTTTCCTGGATGAAGACCTTCTCAGAAGTGCAGTTTATGTTGTGCTCTTGGGCCTCTGGTGAGTAGCCTGCCGGGACAGACACACCCCTGGGCACATTCCTCCAACTGCAGCCACTGAGGCTGTCAGAGGATGGTGAAGCCCATGCCCTTCAGTGAGATTGCCTTAGAAAAGGGGAAAATAGAGGCTGTGGAAACATTTTAAACCTTACCTGCCAGGAAGTCGTGGAGGGTGTGCACTAGGTCCGTCCAGGTCTTGTTATCAGAGATATTGTAGGAAATGTCCAGGCCTTTTTCCCCATAGACATCTGGCCTCAAGGTCACCCCTAGAAAAAGGGCACGACATACTAGCTTCCCAGATGGTCACCACATCCAAACTGTTGGCTGTGGAGTTGGTGAGTTACACACAGAGCTGTCTCAGGCTGGTGGTTGCCGAGTGTGGGATGCTACGGGTCCAGTCGGACCCAGGTCTTCAAGGGCACCTAGGTGAGGAGCCTGCGGCCAGGTGTCCTCTGTACCAGCAGCACGGCAAGGACCCTGCCCAGCAGCCTGGGAGCTACACGGTTGGAATGAGGCCTGTCTGGGAGCAGTGTGCAGTCCTCAGCTGAAGGCCGTATGGGCTCTTCCGGCACAAGGCCTGCGCCAGCCACCTGGCCACACTCACTGTTGCAAGTGATGACTCATCCAGGGTCAACTGGGTTTCTAAGCAAAGTTGTGTTTGAATGCACATTTGAAAAAGTATCACTGGTTTGGTTAAGTACAAAAGCAATCTAACAACATATTAATTGTAAAAAAAAAAAAATCAAAATGTATAAGTGCAGGAAGTTCAATTGACAGCCCTGTTTTCCCAGTCTCAAGTCTCGTGTGCATCCTTTGGAAACATTTCTGTGAACACAAACATGTAGACATGTGCATGTATATCATGCGTTTCTCCACATAAATGGGAGCATACTATCCATATTCCACTTTTGTGTTTTCATTTTCCGGCACCTGTTGTAATCATCTTTCCTTGGCATTTCATATCAACTCACCTTTTTTGTCCCACAATTACTCCATCATGTTGCATTGTGGGAAATGTTCCACGACTGACTTAACCAGTCCCCAATTCATGCGGGTGACTTTTTAAATCAGCAACTAGGGTTTTGTTTCTATGGATGCCATGAAAGTAACAGCTATACATGGTTTAAAATTAAAAACCTTCAGAAAGGTTTAAAAGAAAAGAAAGCACTCTACTCCCTCTCAACTACCCATTATGAGTGTGTTTCACAGCCTCTAATCAGGTTCTCATATAACTTGTTCATCAGCTTCAGAAGGTGGCTGTTTCCTGGTCCCCTGCCTCCTCCTGGTGACAAGGGGACACACCTTGCCTTGCCATCCATCCTCAGAGTTTTGGGCAAATTATATTATGGTTATGTTCTCAAGTTTGTAATATATTACGTTGTTCTGAAATTGCATTGAACTCCTCTATGTTTCATCTGTTGGTTGATTCTAAAAATTGACACCCATTAAAGCACTTTGGTGTCATGATGATTTATAGACAGATTCACTGAGGATCCCAGCAGAATAGCTGGATCCGCTAAGCTCCCCACCCGCTGGAGAATGTTTGAGGTGGCTGCTCTTAAAAACTCTTGAATTTTCTTTTCTTCTAGGTCACCCCTATGTGCTGCTGACATGTTTTTGGGGTTGTTATCTTCTTTAGAAAGTATTAAGGATGCATGGGGATAAACATTTTGAGTAAATATGTGCTGGAAAATGCTTTTTCATCCTTCATTTCATTCTTCCTTTCGTCTCTGCCCTCTGTCTTTTCCCTTTGTTTTTGGTTTTTGCAGTCACCCTGGGTTAATGGGCTGTGTGGAAGTCTTGGTTAGAATCACCTTCCCCTCGCTGTTTCAGGCTCTAGGGTTGTCTCATTTGGTGCCAACTCAGGAGAGGAGAGTGGACGCTCAGCTCACTGAGCCACCTCCATCAAACAGGACAGTAGACTAACTGCACTTAGAGAAAACCGCACGTGTTCTGAATTGAGTCTGCTTTTATGGAGGTAATACGCTCCCGCAGAAAAGATGCCTCAGGACTGAGGGGCATTCAGAGGGAAACAAAAGCACTTTCCCTCCCTTTGTTCTTAATCCCTTAAGAACAGTTTCTTGTATATCCCCCAGAAATGTCCTCTGTGACTATATATGTATACAAAGCTAGTGACATCAACAAAAACCTTCTGTTTTAATAATTACAACTGAAACCAAAGTCTGACTTTAATCTGCAGTCATCTTCCTCATCAAAAGAAAATGGGGGACCGTCCACATCGGGCTGTGCCCCTCAAAGCCCTGTAGCCACTGGTGAGGGTCACAGAGGCCCCTCTGGGGCTGCCCCTCTGGGTTTGTTCCTGGAGGGTTTGTGTTGGGACTGACTGTCGCCCCCACGGTATCCTGGCACGAGCATCACCCCTGTTACCTGGTGACTTTAGCTGGTCTTGGTAGTCAGGTGTGTATGGGTCAAGTGTGCACATCAGCGAGTATATGCACAGGGCGAAGAGTCCAGTCATCACCACGTAGAAGGCCACGTAGTAGAGGCTGATCCACACTGCGGGGGGAGAGGCAGGCCAGCGCAGCTGACACATTTCCTAATCCCCGTAGGACACAACGGAAAACCCACCGCTGCACCCATCTTACAGTGAACAACTCAGTGGTGTGGAGTATATTCACACAAAACATTGTACAACCATCACCTCTATCTAGTTCCAGAATATTCTCATCACTCCAAAGAAATCCCATATACCCCTGAAAAGTCGTCTTAAAAATTGTAACATAGCTCTAAACTGCTGCTCTCAGATCTAATCCTGACACTTTGGGACCAATCCTCAGATGTTCCCACCTTGCAGGTCCCTGGTGCCAGGGGGTATTAGAGTTAAAATGGGCCCTTGGGGTGATCTGGTGAGGGAGGTGAAGCCTGGCCGGAAGTCCGAGCAGGACCTGAGTTCTGGGAGCCCCACGCTGCTGGTGGGTGGTCCTCTGCCTCCCTCCTCAAAGCAGCCCCTCCTTTTCCTTCCTTGCCCAGCACAAACCCCACCAGGACAGCGTTCCCTGCCAGGCACATACCCCACCGGGACAGGGTCCGGCCCAACAGCTGCCCCGTGTCTGGGTTCCAGCAGTAGCGTTGGAATTCCTCCATCCGCTGGCTGCATGACTTTTTCTCCTGCAGTGCTGCCATTGCCCTGCGTCTGGAGCTTCTGGAGGTCCCCCTCCTGTAGAATAGGGGTGCTCCCCACACCGAGACTGAGAGGGGAAAGTCCTCGTCTGGGTTTTATAGTCTCCTTCAGAGGTCAAAGGCACCCTGGAGACAGGTTCCAGAGAAAGCACAGAGCGGTGTTATCAGACCTCGGCTATCCAAACACCAGTGGCAGGCAGCTCCGTGAGCTCGGCAGGTTCTCCTGCTATCAGGCGCCCCTTCACCTTCTCCCCTGCGCAAGCAGGGTGGTGCCACCTCTTTTTACCGCCCCCTCCACTCGGGATGCCCTTGGCCTGTGACTTTGTTTTCTGATAATGACTAAGGAGGAATACTTCCTTCCATGAACAGCGACTTGTTCAGCTCTGCCCCATTCTCTCACTGGCTTTAGGAGGAAAGATATAAACAGCACAGGTCAGCACGAGGGCAGGCCTGGACCCGGAGGCTTGCCTGCTGCTCAGACACTTCCTGGTCTGAGATGTGGAACAGGTCACCAATGTTATGATATTGCCATCGCAAGTGGCTCCAGACTGTCATTTCCAGTATTTATCACTCATTGGAGAGAATACATCTGACATTGTGAAAACAGCCAGCGTGTGAAAGGGGCTAGATGTTCTGTTCCAGACAAGAGGGTTCAGAGGGGTCCCTGGTCCCTTCACGTCCCATTGCTCTTGATGCTTAGTTTCAGCAATAAGGATGTTGCCCTCTGAGATCCATTGTTGGGTAGGACATGGGTTCTTTAGGACTTTTTTGTGTCTATGGAGGAATTCACAGTCATATAATCTAGAGGTGCATTTCAAAACTGAATGCACAACATGCCTTGTGCATCTTGTTGAAATACAGATTCTGACCCAGTGGGCCCAGGAGCTCCCGATGGACTGTGCCTGTGGCTATAGGACTGCCACAATGTCCAGATGGGGGATGCTTGGCCTGACAGCACATTGGAGTCACCTGGAGAACCTTGAAACCTATTGCCTGTCCCACCCCCAAGTTTCTGAGAGAGCCAAGCTGCTAGGTGTCCTGAGCTTCAAGAGAGCTATGAGCCCCCCAGACCATCTTAATGGGTGACCAGAACTACTGGCTTAGAGGACTTAGTGGTTTACATAGCTGGGGCCATGACATCTGCTCACTGGGGCATCCAACTCTGCGGTTAGGTTGAAAGGCCAATGCCACGCAAATATAATGTTCCGCAGAGGGCTTTCTATAAATATCTCAATCAAAACCCAGTTAAAATAATGGGTATTGTACAGAAAGATACAGAATTCCATTCATTGTCACATCTAGGCTTTTCCCCTTAGGGACCCATGTAGCCAAATTTGAAGATTTCTTTGGTAAGAAGAATAATGAAAAACCCTCTTGCCATTACTCTGCCTCATTTTCTTTAGAGTGATTTAGAGTTTATCAAGAAAATGAGCACTCTAAAATTAAGGTGGAATTGCACCACTTTAGCTAGGACTCCTAATTTCTGAATGCACCAATCCTATGCATTTTCCTGAACACTGCTCCTATTCACAACTTTGGAACTTTAGGACAATGGAAACACAGAGCGTGGTGTTAGGTTGCAGTCTAATTATCCACAACCTGTGGGTCTGGGAGCCTGAGTGCTGGGGCCTGAAGATAAGTACAGCAACTGTTGTCCACAGAATAAATGGCACCCTTGTCAATGAAGTGTAGTGATGCTCTTGAAATGATCAAAATATGAACTCTCTTTGGAAGCCGTTGAACTAAATTTTCCCCACTTAGTCTCTGAATTCCCAGAAGCATGAAAGTATGTGCTGAACTGCACACACATTATCAAAGTGACCTTCTCTGGACACCCTTGTAAGAAGGAGAGGCAGGGAAAGGGTGCTGGTAGAGGGCAGCTTTCCCCACGGCATGCTCTAAAAATGTAGTACAGATGTCCCATTAAGAGTGGGCTCCAGACAAAGTGGGGAGCATACCCCCAGGTTCCCAAGTGGGGAGCCAAGACTTCTACCCTCACCTGGCAATAATGAAGTAGAGCCCAATTCCCTTCTGCCACTAACGCGGAGTCAGAGAAAGCAGCTAAAACTGAGGAGAACCATGTAGATTTCAAAATGAATTAAAACAAGGCAATCAATTGAGTGCCAACATTGAGGTGACAGCGATGTTGGGATTACCTGGCAGATTTTAAAGCAGCCATGATAAAATTGCTTCAGTGAGCAATTATGAAAATGCTCAAAACAAACCAAAAAATAGAAAGCTTCAGCAAAGAAACAGAAGATACAAAGAAGAACCAAATGGAAGTTTTAGATTAAAAAATACACAATAACCAAAATAAAAAGCTCAAAGAATGGACTCAACAGCAGAAGGAAGAGGGCAGAGGAAAAAACCATTGACATGGAGGAAAAATGCAATAGAAATTATCTGATCTGAATAATAGAAAGTAGACTTGGGAAAAAATGCACAGATCCTCCTTTTAAAAATCTTTAACATTTGTGTCATCAGAGTTCTATTGTAGAAGAAGGGAAGTAGAAGAGCAGGGCTGAAAACTCAAAGAAATAATGACTGAAAACTCCCCAAATTTGGCAAAAGACATAAACCTACAGAGTCAAGAAGCTGAGTGAATCCCCAACAGGACAACCATGTCCCACACCAAATCCATGCCAAGATGCATCTAATTAAACTTAAAATTAAAGACACACACATACAACCTAGAAAGCAGCCAGAGAAAAACCATTTGAATGACAGCAGATACCTCATCAGAAACCAGAGGCCAGTAGGAAGTTGCACAATACTTTTAAAATACTGAAAGAAAAGTACTGTCAACATAGAATTCTAAATCCAGCAAAAATAGCCTTTAGGAATGAAGGGAAAATCAAGACATTCTCAAATAAAGGGGGGAAAAAAGTAAAATAATTTATCACCAACAGATTTATCTTAAAAGGATGGCTAAAGGAAGTTCTCAAAACAAAAACACAATGTTAAAAGAACACATATTAGAATATCAGGAAGGAAAATATAACAGAAAAATATCAGCAAATACTATACACTTTCCTTTTCTTCTTGAGTTTTCCAAATTTAGTTTGATAGTTGAAGCAAGAATTATAACATTGCCTAACATTGCTCTAAATGTATGTAGATAAAATAACATACAATTACATTATAAACAGGAAGGATAAAAAGAGGTAAGATTTCTATACTTCATTCAAACTGATAAAATGACAATAGAATGTGAAAAGTTATGTATATGTAATGTCATGCCTACAACAACCAATAAAAAGCAATATAAAGAGATACACTCGGGCCGGCCGAGTGGTGCGATGGTTAAGAACTCGTTTGGGACACCAGAGAGCCCCGGTTCGGATCCCACATATGAGGGCCAGTGACGCTGCCCTCTACAGCTAAGATGCTGAACAACAGCTCAACCTGGAGCTGGGCTGCC